CAATATGACATGAAGATAAATGGAATTGATAATCAACATAGTACAAACTAGAATCGTGCATTTGGTCATGAATACCACACACAATCTTATATATAGATTTTAAGAACTATCAATTTTGCCGGGGTGGAAAAAATATTAATTAAAAGTTTATTTCAAATATTAATTTTTTAAATTAATTTTTAACAAAAAGGAAATATTTTTTTTTTCAATTAATAATAAAAAATGTAATTTAAAAAAAGCAAACTTTATTGACAAAAAAAAATGCATTCAATTCGAGTAAAATGATGTTCGATTACTTGCACTTTAGTAAATTTGAAGACGTCCCATTTTCTATTATCGAATTGAAAGGAATTTTTTTGGTAAATGACAAAAGAAAAAAAAGAGTATATGTATTGGTATAAGTGGTCTGATACTCATGATTGGTAATGTAGGTATATATATAGAGAGAGAGGGCAATACAGATGGCCGAGGTATTATTTCCTGTGTTGGGCATCGACTGGATCGATGTGTTATAACGACGCAATCATCCAAATGGAGCGCACACAAGAAGAGGACTATCCTGTCCCACTCTCTAGCAAGAGCAACTTTAGGGGTCACGTTGAACGTGCACAATGCATTTTCATCACCGTCCCCCCCCCTCTCTCTCTCTCTCTCGCTCTCTATGTGTACTAGTGCGAATTTCACATGTGCATGTTGGGCTCTCAACGATTTATCATTGAGGACCCGACGTGATGTGCGAGGAATACAGAGTCCTACAAAAAAGCGGTGATAATTCAACGAGTGCAAAGAAATAAAAAAAAAGAGTCAAGAGCAATTATTCAAATATAAATAATGCATATACTCGTCGTTTAGAAGGGGGTGAAATCTCGATTGAGGTAAAAGCATTTTTTTCCATTGGCACAATTAAATGGAAGATAAATAAAATATAAACATGAATTTTTTTTACTTAAACCAACTAATTTTTAGAGGAAATTAAATAATTTCTGTATTTCAAACAAAAACCATTTGACTCAAATTTGATAAACGATCATTTGAAATTTTTTCTTCAAGGAGAAAAATAGAAATAAAGTATAATTTTTTACCTCTCACAATTTTCACTGACCGAAACTGATATGTTTTTTTCCGGAAATATAGTAAAAATAATACTATTTCCGAAGTAATTTTTTTTTCAAAAGCAAACGATTTTACATTGTAAGTGGAAAAAGTCAATTTTTTTGTAAATTATTTTGTCTATTCTAATTTTCTTTACAATGATTTTTTTTTTCCATTTTGTTGTAGGCAAAGACTTTTTGAAATTGAACTTTTTGTGCGCAACATTTTCACAAAATCTCTATCTCTCTGTCGTTTATTCATCTTTCACGACTTGCGGACTTTCTCAACGAGTTCCATTAATCGCGCATAATCCAAAGTCGAGATTCTACCACCTGTACCCCCATCGCATTAGAGTCTATTCGACTTGCCGGAAGTAAATCGGGACTCCGCGGAAACTTGGACCGGCAGATTTGAATAATGATGTTCGTACCGATACGCCTTCTCTCTGCGATTATGCATGCATGACGACCTCCTCTCTCTCTCTCACTCACTCTCTCTCTCTTGACTGAGAGCGCTCTTGGAATGTTTAAAAAAAATTAAACTCGATTTCATCCTCACTATACACGAAGCCTGTGGATTCGACCAAAGAAATCCTTGAGAGAAAAAAAAGAAGTATATATTCAAACCCAACTGCCGCATTACTTGAAATGGAAATGTTATGTAAAACATTGCAGAAAATGGAGAAAAAATTTTTTTTTTCCCTTAAGAATCTAGATTAAACGCTTTTTATAATTTATTTTCAAAATTCCATGAATAATATGCGTCTAGTTTTTATAAAAACATCATATATCATTAATTAATGAACATTAATTAATAAAAATCAAATATTAAAAATAAAAAAAAAGAGAGAAACAGAAATGCAAAAAAAAAAAATAACCTTGCATAATTAGAAGAAAAAAAAAAAATTTTACTGGACAATTTGACTTGTAATTGTACCATTATTTCTTTAAATGTTTACGTGCTTTGGTAACATTTGTCTATCCCATAATTTGTGTAGGTTTTTTTTTGTGCATTACGAAACCACATTACTTTTTTTTCACGTCGCGCGTCGAAACTTAATAAATGCTTTCTGCTATACGTCTGCTTTAATTAACGTCCACAAAATAGAAACCTACACAATGTTGTGGGTGAACAACATGCAACAAAAAAAAAAAAAGAAAAGAAACAAGAGATGAAAACTAAAAGAAAGTGAACATAAAGTGAAAAGTTTCAGCCGATTCTGGCAGAAAAGTGGAAATAAACAATTCACGCACACGGTTGGTTTTTTTTTTCACGCGCTTACATTGAAGGGGCTGGAAAAACTTTGGTTATTAAGGCGCGCAGGAAGAACAATATATGTACCCGCATTGTGGAATTTTCTCAAGAATATTGCCGCAAGGACTTTTTTCTGCAAATTGTGAACTACATAATTTATATCAAAAAAAAAAAATTATATATATTAAAATATTTATTCCTTTCTTTTTTGATGATGGAATCTTTTTTTCATTAATATTTTTTTTTTATAAATTTTCTGCCGTAACTTTTAAAAAATGCCAAAGACTTTTTCTTTGTAAAAATTTTACAAGTGACGGATTTTTATGAAAAATTTTTATTCACATTATCTGTCGATAACGGTAGAGTGAAAATCTTGACAAGTGACAATTTTCATATGTGCGAGTGTTTGCGATAAAAAGTGTGAACACGTCTATTGTTCATGCGAAGGGTTGCAAAGGGAAACTATGTGACAAATGGGATAAGGGGACAAGAGAAGGACAGGAGAACGGGGTTATAATAGGGAATGTGGAGTTTTCAACGTGCGACGTTCTTTAAATTATTCATGGAAACTAAGATAAGAACGTCCTATGGTTCTCTCTCTCTCTCTCTCTCTCTATATATATATATATATATATATATATATATACGTGTGTGTATGTATACACATGTATGTGCGTTTACGTATATGTACGTAAATAGCGATAAGAATAACCCACGTTTCCCATGAAACTCATTACAGTTCTGATGGTGGTTTGCTATATCGACTATCACTTTGTTATTAATGCGAAAGTGCTACCAAGTCACAGGACCACTCCCAAACATGCACGATTACGCGTGGGAAACTCAACATCTACATAAAATGCCATTAGCTTTACCGAATAGTAATAATAATATCAAAAAAAAAAACTGGAACATGAACACTAATCTTGTAATTCGATTCATCATTTTACTTCTACCTTCTGTAAAATTTTAACATAATTTTTTCTTTCCTTGAAAAAATAATATTAAATTTATAATGTACACTGAACAAAAATTTATTTGATTTGAATACTCCATTGTCTGTTATGAAATAAATATTAATTTCCAATAATTATAATTATAAAATAATAATTATAATAATAGTAATAATAGTAATAATTAATAATTATTATTTGAGTCATTTAAACGGTATTTATTTTTAATACAGAAATTATTAATTAAAATACAAGTTCATTTAATTCAAATAAAAATTACTTGCTTTAAATAAATCATTTATTTGATAATAGTCAAGCAACCAATTATTTAAATCAAATAAATTTTTTTTTTTCAGTGTAAAAGTAAATTTTTTTTTATTTAAAAATTATGAATTAAAACTTCTAAAAATTTGTTTCTTAATCCCCAAAAAAAATGTTTAATTAATTTATTTGATATTACAATATCTAAATTATATAATTTTAAACGAAATATATATATATATATATATATATATATATATATATATATATATAAATAGTGAAACAAACGAGCACTTCGATTATTATGAATAATTTAATGTATACTAAATATTTGGCTTTAGTATATATATAGCAATTAAAAATATTAAACAAACTGTGCATTATATTGATTCAGCAGATCGCCACAATTGAAACTACTCAATAGAATATTATCATAAATTAAAGTTTGTTTTTTCAATGTTTGCATTTAATATTTATAGTGATTACGCAAGGCAACGTTTAAATCCATTTTCAGGTTCACTAATAATTTTGATAAGACCGAAAAATGAAAAAAAATAAAATGAAACAGAAGAAATGACAGCAAATTTGAAGGTTTGATAAACAAATGATCAATTGTTTTTTTGTGCTTCCTGAAGTACGTACATATATTTCGAGTTATTTAAACAATTTAAATTTACTTAAAATGTAAAGTGTGATAATTAATTTCTTCATGTTTACTTTTTATATTTATAAATATTTATTTTTTTCGGGCAAATATACTATTCGGGCAAAACCATTCGGGCGAATGGTCATTCAGGCGAAAGTATGTTCGGGCGAATGGGCGTTAACCATTTATAGTTTATATCGAAAAAGCAAAATTTAAATTCAAATAAAAGAGCAATATTTTAAAAATTTCACGAAGAAATATTTTTAAATAAAAATCTGCTTTTTAATTTCTAAATTTTAATTCACTCAAAACGGAATTTCAAATGTATTAATAGAAATATAAATATTAATACAAAATATATATATGATAAAATAAATTCATATGTATATAAATTAATAAACGAAATTATCGACTTTTTACCGATATTTTAATAAAAGAAAGAGGATTTTCGTGTAATAATAATAATAATAATAATAATAATAATAATAATAATAATAAAGGAGAGATCTTTAATGTTTGCATTTTTATGAAAATTTTTCAAGCTTTGTAAATTTAGTATAGCGCGAGTTCCTTTGACCAACTATAAAGCACTACCTATAAAATTAGCCTAGAACTTGTGGAACCATCCAGATTTGGTTACTCGGTTGTGTCAACATAATATTAGGAGAGGAAAGAAGTTTTTAAGGTACAGAGAGAGGAAAAAAGTAGAAAAAGTAGAAAAAAAAGAAGGAGAAGAAGAAGAAGCCTTTAATCAAACTTTTGGAAGAAAATGTTGAATAAGAAAACTGACTTACCCTGCATGAAGGAACATGTAGAAGGCAAACCTCCAGAGCTCAAGGCGTTTGTCCGGCCTATATATAAAGACGCTGTCGATAGGGACCGGCCCCGAGGGATTCACTTCGCCCATCACCGCAACATAGTATGTGAAAAATCCCAACTGAAAACAAACAAATAAAAATTTAAAAATTAAAAATATTTTTTAAATATTTCCACTAAAGGGGAAAAATACAAATTAAAAAAATACAATTACCATTTGATTTTCAAAAAAAAAAAAAAAAAACTGAACGCAAACTCAAATCAATGATTGAGTGTTTTTATAAAATTTTAATTAGTTCTAGAGAGTACACTGTTGGTGTTTTCATTTTGAAACGTCGATTTGCAATCAATTTTCAACGTGCAGGGGGGGAAAGGAGAATATTTGAAAATGAGTGATTAAATTATTTTATGACACGCGTGTGACAAATGTTTCTGCTTGATTGATGAATAATTATATTCAAAAATAACAGATTTTCCCCTGCTTTTAAGTTAAAAATTCCAAATTTATTATTAATTTCTGTCAGCAATTTTCCTTTTTTTTGCCAATAAAATTAAAATCCACTAAATAGAAATAACAATATAAAATTTTTAATTAGACAAAACAATTTATATTTAATTTTACAATTAATGATTTAGTAAAAAAGAAAAAAAAATTATAGGGATATTATACTCGTGTAATAAAATTTTTGTGATTCTCAATAAAATTCTAAAAGTAGGAAAATAATTTTCTATGTGTATTTCTCGAGAATGTTTTTACAAATATAAAAATGTTCATTACAGATTTTATCGTCGAAACTGATTTCAGTCGCCTCGTGTAAATATATATTAAAAAAAAGAAAAAGAACGAGAGTAGAAAGTTGCGATAATGACTGAATGTTTATAATTGTAAGTGGAGGAGAAGTTTCTATATAGAAATGAGAATAAAACATGTGTAGAATTACATTGCGTGTTCAAACCAAAAATTTTTTTATAAATTAATTTTATGATTAATTAACAGGACATATATTTTTATTATCATTGTCGCACAATCTTGCGTGATAGGAAGTAAATAATTTTCGTAATTATTATTACGTTATAATATTAAATTATCTAGTTTTTGTATAAAAATGAAATTAATCATTGTTTTATATATCAAAATCAACTCGAAAAATATATGCTTTTTGAGAAAACTATATATATATATATATAGCGACGATAAATCATCAAAATTATTTTCACTCTCTTTCTCTCTCTCTCTCTCTCTCTTTGGCGTATAATAACGATGTTCGACTGAACTCTCGTAATGGATTTCAATCCATCGTTCAGAAGTGCGGCGAGAAAACTTTTCGTTGGCAGCTTCCACTCGGAAGCTTTTTATTTAGCTTTTAATAGTAACAAATTTTGTATATAACTTTTTTTCCCCATTACTTTTTGTTTAACACTGAAGTGCTTTTTCTCGTGCGTTCCTGCTTTATTGATTAATTTATAATAATCCAACAATTAATTATTATTTTACATAGCAAATAAAAAATTAATATTTAATATTAATATATTTCAAAATTTATAATTTCACAGAAAATTAAAAGGCATTAAAATAAGCTGCAACGCTTCTTATTTTAATCCAATTTTGTTTATTTTAATACCAAAATGGATTAAAATAAGCAAAATTGGATTAAAATAATAAGCGTTGCAGCTTATTTTAATGCCTTTTAATTTTCTGTGTTAAAATTATTAAATTGATACTGAAAATAATATTGATATTTTTATATCAATTCGATACTTTTTAAATTAGTGTGTAATTTGAATTAACTTTTCTCAAGGTTAATAAAGATTTATATGAACCTTGTTTTCTTTCTGATAAATTAATATCAAAAATTTATTAATTTTTACTTTGACTAGAGGGAGTATCCATGACAGTAAATCTACTTCCCTCGAGTTCATAAATCAAACCAATTTTCAGACAGAAGGGGAGAATTTATATATAAAAAAGAAGAAATTTCAAAAAAAAAGGCATTTTTATATACAAAATGAAAAATTTAAATAACATTCTTTTGATGTTATTCATCTGAATGGGAAATATATATATAGCCTGCATTTATCTGATGAACTTTGCAATATGCACCAGAGAATGTGATTTCAAACTAAATTGTTATGAGATTATCTTCTATTAATCGTACAAGTTGGCTAAAAGCCTTTTCTCTTTGTGTCGTTGCTGCACGTGCCCGGTAATTTTCCCGTTGGACAAAGCGCATTGAATTTTAATCCCTTTTCGAATGAAGCAATTTTCGGATAAAAGCAAAGCCAACCCCCTCTTCCCCTTCCCAATCGTATTGAGTTTTGTTACCTCAGAATTCGTAACGAATTTCCCCCTGTACATATATATTGGCAAAAATGGGGGGGGGGGCAATATTGATGTTCCCTTACTCGCCTTTCGAGACAAGAGAGAGAGAGAGGATGGACGCGATGGAAGATAAAATCTCGTTTCCTGCTTTTATTTTATTCACAGGATTTTATATGCAAGCATCTATGTAGAGAGCCGCGATGGCAGTATGTCGCTATGAACATAAAATACTGGATGCATCGCAATAAGGAATCGATGGAAGTCTTATTTTCATATTTCTACGACTGTTTGGTAGAATATTAGACAACGCGAAGTATATATCCAATCCCATGGGTACTTTATCCCTCGAGTCAAATATTTTCCTTTTTATATAGCCCGTTTACGAGATTTTCGATCCACTTTTCAAATCGCAAATGTTACCTCTTTTAATCTGCATTTATGGAAAAACGATTTCTTTGCATTTTGTCTTTTATTGCATTTGTCTTATAAATAAACAAAAAAATAATAATAATAAATTTTTCTCATATTGCTTACTATTTTTATTTATTTATTATTTACAATAATTATAACAGACTTATATTCAAAATTAAATTAAATAGCGCACTTATTATGAATGAAATTATAAAAAATATTTTTTGGAATAATTTTTTTATTTCTCTTTTTGTAGTCGTGTATATATATATATTTCCCCTCTTTTATTTATTTTTAATGACATTTCTTCGTTTAGCTGACAGAGCTCTATAACCTTGATTGGAGAATGTTATCAGCGTAATGAAAAAACCATCGGAGTTACCTTGTCCCATCCCTCAACAACGTGGATAAAACTGATTAATTGATCCTTCGTTTTTTCCACGTCATCGTCCTATAAATATTGCTAGAGAGAGAGAGAGAAAGGGAGATCAATATTACAAGTCGATCGCTGGTTTTTTTTAATTCAATTCTAAAAAAAAAATACCGAAAATTATTTTAATTTTGTATTAATTTATCAAGTGACCCATAGAGAACGTGCTTGAGAAAATTAAGTCACATTACTATATATGTATATATATATTGTAGTGTGAAGTCGCTTCTTGTTGGATTTCCTATCTCGAGAGAGATTCCATGGGCTTGAATTATATACAGAGGTGCAAAATACCAGGGTCGTAATTGTTCCATTACAGTGGGCACTTATGTACTGCCAGCGACTAGCGACAGCTACTTTTGCGACATTCAACGACAAAATGCCGCAGGCATGTACCGCAAAGCGACGATTAGAAACGGCGTCGCGACTCCGTGACGCGCAAACGTCGTCTTCATATATATATATATATAAAGTGTTGCCAAAGTTTCTTTCAGGAATTTCTCCGCACTCAAAATATTTCTCATTACAAAAAATAATTTTCCATTTTTTGAAAATTCTATTCAAGAATTTCTTATTCTTCAAGTCTGACTCGATTGATTTCTTCGCAATGAGATATTTTTATTTTCAAGAAAAAAGGAAAAATTCATTCTTTACTTTTCATTTTATTTTTCCAATAACGGAAAAAAAAACTTATTACAAAAGTACAAAATCTTCAAAGCAGATATCCTGAAACCTTCGGCTTCCTATTTTATAATTAATTTCCAGAAAACTTATTTGTTTCTGTATATAAATGATAACCCACTTGGAAAGATTCCCCGGAAAGTGCCACCTGGAGGTTCTATCAGAATTCCGCCGGAACTTCCAACGTAATTCCGTCGGAGTTCCAAAGAATTTCCGATGGGATTCCGACGGAATTAGGACTCTAAAAATTTTGAAAAAAATTAATCGGAACTCCGTCGGAATCCCATCGGAAATTCTTTGGAACTCCAATGGAATTCCGACGGAATTACGTTGGAAGTTCCGGCGGAATTCTAATTTTCCGGGGAATCTTTCCAAGTGTGAATAATGATAATAATAATAATGATAATAATAATGATAATAATAATAATGATAATGATAATAAGCAATAGTAATAATAATAGATTTCTGTTTATAAGTTTTATTATAAAAAAAAAATTCTAAATTGAAAGAAGAATCGAGATGAAAATTATGATTTTATTAGAATTGATTAAAATGATTAATTATAATATACTCAATAATTGAGTAACTAATGGGTCCGTTTCGAGACGATTTTGCTTACACACAAAACGATCGTTGAAAATTATATTGCACTATACACGCTTAGGCTAGTTCAATTAAGGTTTCAGCTCTATATATACAAAGATAGGGTTGCGCTTTGCTTATGACGGTATAACGTAACAATTTCCCATCAAAGCAGCTGCAACATTTCATCTATATGAACACCTTTTACTAATAGATTTATTATTAACAATTTATTATAATTATATATATGTCTACTAATCGAATTTTATTATTTATTTAAATCTTTCAATTTTAAATTTATTATAAATATTTTTCATAAATAAATATCAAATAAATACATTTAATAAATAAATAATAAATATTTTTAATAAAAAAATATTAAATAAATACTTTTAATAAATAAATATTTTTATCTAAAATATATTCATTACAATAATCAATTTCCTAAAAATAATGTGTGCTATCAATTTATTGTTTCCTAACACAAAGAAAATTTACCTTATGCAAAGGATTTTAAAAGGTAACATTCGTTTTTTAAAAATTATACACAATTTTTATCTCTCTCTTTATATATATACATATATGAAAAAGTTGGTGTATATTTTTATTTGAGGCACACTTTTAATGAATCAAATCCAGGTTTTCATTGATGCGAAACTCTTTTTTTTCACAAAGTGTAAGCGTGAGAGAAATAGAG